TATATATTTGTCTTGAGTCATCAAAAAAATTCTTAAACCTAATTCCAATAAAATTTTCGTTTATTCTTTTAAATTGCTTGCTCAATCTTTTTCAAATTAGTAAAATTGTACAATAATGTACTATTTCCTTGTTTTTTCCAGTTTCTGTGTGCCTTCTTCCACTTTTCATCTGATGAGACTTTTAACGCACCGTTGAACCAAGGTGGTTGATTGAGGCATATCAGTTCATCACTTTCAAAGATAGAAAACTGTCAAAGGCTTGCTCAGGCGGAGCTCCATTTCTACTCGCTTCGAATGATTGTTTCAAGTCTTTGAGAAAATTACTTCTCCTTGATTCGTATTTTAGAAATATAATAACTCTAAAATTATATATAGAATCTGAAAGCATTTGTTTTATGGGCCATTTGATAAGGATCGTAAAGTTCTCACCAATGTTTTTGTATTGCATGAATTTTGTTCTAGCTTCAGAAAAATCTCATACATGAAGTGATGGATACAGGAAGATGAGTTTATGATACGCGAGTTGTTTCTGTTAGAAATGAAGCTATTTAGGTAGTTAGTAGAAAACTGATTCTACAGTACCGTATTGATATTAAAATGTCCACATATGAGATCCACTTTCGATGTTGAACTAATGAATTCAGAAAAACTTTTACGCTAATTAAAGAACTGCAATTTTTTTCTTCTTGTTGGGTTATAAGTAAACGCTAATTTTCAAGTCAAAACAGTTTTTATCGACCTTAGCAAAGATCAGATATACAAATGGAGTTTTCAAAGGCCTGAGCACCTTCACGTTTTCCTTAATTTGAATTATGGCCCCTTCTCCCCTTACAATAGTGCGGTGTTTCACAAAATACTGTCCATTAATAAGAAAATCTTTAAAGATATCATTATCAATAATTTTCACTTGAGCAAATTTTATCTGCCGTGACGTAAGACTTACAAACTCTCGAAAGGTGGTTTTAGTGAGAATGTGTTCAAAGGCAGAACTGAAAAATAGTTTTTAGCATCGGATAAATTGGATGATCCAGAACTATGGCTAGATACCAGTCGACTGTTCAACACGATAGGCACCTACTGAAACATTGTGTTTGGTGTTTTTCAACGTTGTAATCATTAGCTGGTGTAATTGGTTTCAGTGCTCTTATGATAAAAGAAGCAATGGCGTTTACAATTTCATCTGCAATAGATTAAGTTTCATCATTTTCCTCAAGATTATAAAATTTATTTTTCGCTTTTTTTTTACTGCTCGTCGCATAAAAATCTTTGCTTCTATTTTATAATTGGAATTTGAAAATCTTGACGTTTTCATAACACCATCGCTTCACTTCAATTAAGCTGCGGATTTTTAGGGTTATTGGCATACACATTTTGTTTTTGAGTATAATATAGGATACAGTTGGCTATCGCTTCTGATCTAATTGTTCTGTCGCAAGGGAAAAAGCACTCTTCAAAATATACTGATTGTCTTTTATTGTTCTGGAGTTTTTTCAGCCATGATCTGTGCCTCCACCTGCGTCGCCATCCGCATGGATTAGGATTTTCACAAACACAGGTGGTTTCTTTCTAGGTTTCCAAGGATGACAGGTGGCAATATTATGTTTGGAAATGTTAATCGACATAATTTTAATCATCATTTGAAGAATTTTGACCTTTGTGTCTGCTGCGATATTAATGTTAGAGAAAATTAGGCATAAATTACGAGAGCACTTCTCAAGATCTAAATCTCTTTCGGTTGATAATTTTTTCGGATACAACAGTATAATTTTTCTTCTGTTTCTATTATCAAATTCCGGTTGACCCACCTTCAAATTTTGATCTCTTTGCTTTTGCTTGACTTTTATACTGACTAACTATGTAGTTATTTAAGAGCAATTTTGGATCTCCCGGTAGTCTTTGTAATTTCCCCAAAAGTTCAATTATTAGGCTTTGTGTAAATAGTGGTAAACTATTATGGCATAAAGTTAATTTCTTCCGCATATTTAAAAGATAATAGTTTAAAGATGAAAGTAATAACTGTTTGAAAATTCTAAGTCACCTCCTCAGAGCAACTGGATATTTTGATAATACTAATAACAACAGACGCCATGGGCAGCCAAGCAGAGACAACAAAAAAAACAACCAGTAAAAATATTGAAAGAACTAGGTGAACCAAAGTTTTATTATCTCTCGATAAAACACAACTTGTTGTCCAAAAAGTAGATCGCGGCCGCTAAAGCAGAAACGATTTCTAGAACGGGGTTTTGCAATTTCATACTGTCTCCTTTTCGAGAAAATTCAAAAAAGTTTCAATGAAAGTCAAACTTGTATAACATTTGTCTAAAAGAAATTGGTAGTGGCAGTTTTTGCACGTTGGCTTTCAACAACCTGTTATTTTAATTAAACCTATGATATCAAAATTGGCAGTATAGTTATCGAGAAGAGTCCAAACAAAAGGATCAAAAAAATTGTTTTCTACGAGAATCATAATTTTCTCGTGAAACAGTTTGGGCTTAGCCGCTGACATCGAGGAGATTCATGCAACTTGTGACTTCGATTATGCCCAAACTCTCGATTAAATCCAGATATCGATTAAACCAAGATATGGTAGAATAGTTTTCAAGAAAAGTCAAAAAGAACAAAAAACGGTCAACAAATGACTATTTTGTTCTATTCATGAACAGCAAAATCTCAAATTTGATAGGATAGTTTTTGGTTGTAGACAAGGAGAACGAAAAAGGGTCTGGAAGAGCATGCAAGTTATTTGAAGTTATTTATTGAGAAGTCTAGGTGTGATTTACTGAGTGTTTATAGCTTCGATATTATGATCTTTTTCTGAAATTGAAATTATTCTTTTAAAACTACTAGAGCTGTTCTCAGAAAACAACGAAAACATGCAAAATGAACAATTTTGGGAAACGAAGCCCGCTAATTGACTTAGTGGTATGAGTTGGAGCAAATTGTTCGAATTCTTGACAAAATTGTTTAAAAGGACGAAAAAATTTGTTTAAATGAAAAATTCAATTTTCAAACTACGAGCTGATAGCAGTTGCAAAAACCACTTGTTAAACAAAACTATCCTGCGACTCTCTTTCAAAAATTTGATCTAAAATGCTGTTGAAGATGCTTTTACAAAAATTCCAGCACTCCTGTTTTGCTAGGGATCGGTTTAGAGGAGATTCACTGGAAGAAGGCCCTTAGCTAAAATCCAGAAAAAAAACATTAAAGTGAAAAATTTAGCTGAATTTAATGACTTGATACCGCACAGAATATTCTATATCTCGTGTTAATTGGGATCAGTGCCTCAAACTGTGTCAAGCAAGATATGAGATCAAGACACAAGGAAGCTGATGCCCAGGAAAATGAGACATTAAACTACCAAACAATGGTCGAGTTGATGATAATTTCAAGTGAATAAATGCAAAATTAGACATCGAGTCGACTAAGCTAGACTCAACAGAAGTCTCAGGGTTTTTTGGCAAACACATGATGAAGATCCTTTGCAAAAACTGTGCAAATCAAATTAAAACTTCTCTTGAGTTTTATTTTGAATAAAGGAAAAATCTGAAAAAAGCACCAATGTTCAAATAGAAAACTTCTTGAGAGCATTCAGCGTCCTTGCTGATGTATCTTAATCATGTGGTATGTAGCAACTATTGAGTTGATATCATGATGCAATTAAGTTTAAAAAATTATAGAAAGCAAATCATAAAAAAACACAAGTAAGTTATCTAGAGTTTGAACAATCAGATGTGGCTTAAAACACCTGAGAAGAGTGAATGGGATGTATCTGAGGAAAAAAATGCGAGAAATAACTCAAATTAGTTTGTTTGGAACGTTTCTGAAATTTATAGCAAAAATTTTTTCCTTTTGAGCATGCACGATATAAATAAAATTTTCCTGAATTGAAAGTTTCCATTTAAAAGATTTAGTTTTTTTTTAGTTTTCTTGACGAAAACGTTGCATTTTAACCACGCCATGTCTCAAATTTTTCAAAAATCAACAAAGCGACTTAGATATTTTGCGAAAACATGTAAAACAGAGAGTTGACTTGATTTGTTAGACTTTTGCAGGTGCAAAAAGTTTTTCATGCTATGCCCTTGACCTTGAATTTACTAAGAACCATCAGAACAAAAACCAATTTTTCGCCAAAAATTTCCAAAAATTTATGCTTATTTCATTTCCAAAACAAATAAAGGCAAAAACATGAAGCATAAACTCACTTGAATCTAATGTTATGCGCAAAACAGCGAAGCTTGCAAAAATGTATGAACAAAATGATCATCAGTAAAACATAAATTTTTTGCTAAAAACCTCCAAACTTTTCTGATGATTTTAGTTTCAAAGCATTTCAAAGCAGTAAATTCAGGGATTAACAATGCGGATAACTAACTAAACGGTTGATGAACAAAAATTGCGCAAGAATTTTTTCGATCGAACGCTCTGAAGTTGTATTTATTCTTTAAAATTAAAAATATTTAAATTGCCCCATACTGAATTGTTTTTGATCTTACACAATGAAAAATTGAAGCCAGAAAGCTGTTTTAAATTTTTATTTACATTCCGAAAAAAAATCATATGTTAACTATAAAAACAGAAATTCGAACATTGAAATTTCACAAAAATAATAGAAAACTCACAAGATTAAGAAAATAGAGATTTGCTTTAATTCTTGTTATTGGTACGTCTTTTTTGCTGACATTTTTTTTTCTCCATAAAATTTGACAAATTGATCATGAAATTGTTTTAAAATTTTCCCTGGAGATCTATAAAGATCTTGAAAAATCTTCAAAAATTTTTGAAGAATCTTGAAGATCTTTGCAAGAATTCAGGAAAATTTCAAATTCGCTTAGGGGGCTGAAAATATATCATACAGGTTTCTGGAAATGTGTTCATGATTTTTGGACGGTCAAAAGTCTTAAAAATCACAACTGTTTTCGAAGATTTTTTGCTATCTTCTCAAGTTGACTAGATCTGGCGTCTCTTTCAAGATTACAATTCACTCTTCTTTACCATTACAGGCGAACTTCTTGAATTCTGGGATGAGTGTGTAGCAAACATTGAAGCAGCGGGATTGTTTCTACACAGTTTCAATGGCTCTAATTCGATCAGAGTGTTTTCAAATGCATCTGACACTGACAAGTGAGTCGATTTTGTTTTAACTTTTGAAGAAAGTGAGAGAATTTTTGTGCTCGGGGTAAGCAAAATTTTTGTGCTCGGGGTAAAACATGATTGTTGGCGGTAATTCAGGATTCTTCAAGATCTTGGCAAGATTGAAAAAAAATTCCTGACTAATTTTAACATTTTGACTAGGATTTTTGACGGAAATTTTTTATATCAGCCAAAAAGTATTGTTGTGTTGAGCTCAAAATTGAAAAGATGATTCTTCTGTGACTAGTTTTTGTAAAATTTAATGGGGTTTAAACATTACCAATATTGCCAATTTGGTACAATTTACGCTCATTATATTTCGGGCAACTAACGCGTAAGCGAGGGCTAAACCTCTTTTAGAAATCGTTCCAATTTAGTTGAAGGAGGCTGATTGTCATATTTGCTACGTTGCTGGGAGCGAAATGTATCACCTTTTTCCTAATATGGCGAGTGATGGGATCTCAATTTTTTTTCTATTTTATAAAAGGATACTCCAATTTGTTTTGAGCGAACATAGATTCATAGACCTCAAAGGGCAGTCGTCTGAACAATCAGGATTTCGTCCTGATACGAGCAGCCTTGCTGTTTTTTTTTGTGAAAGTTGTAGTTTGACACATGCATTTATTTACATATATGATCGTCTTTGCAGCTTTGAGATAGATTGGCTCTACGTCAACAACCACCATCTTGCGGCGATAGAAGTTGGTCGCTCTTGCGGCAAAAAGCTTGCAAAAATCATCAAAGAGAAAATTGAACAGATGCTTACAAGGACTGTTCCGAGGATTCAACACATGCTGATGAGTATCATCAAGGCATATACAACTCACCAGGTGAGCAATCTTGCTGCGGCGGGCGATTGATTAAGTTTGTCTATTCAGTAGTTTGATGCATAAAGTGTTCTTCGGAGAACTGGCTACTAAAATTTTACACACTGCTTCCGCAATGATTTACTGCTTTATTCAGAAGAGCACAAACCTATTTCACAACTGTATTTAGGAACAAACTGATGAACAAAACAATGCTGTCAGAGCTTATCTCCGTGAGAACGTTTTGTTCATTATTGCACTCACCAATGTTCAATTGAAAGACATTCGTAAACATATCAGCGGCCGAATCATTGATAATAACAGAAAACGAACGGCTGGCGAAAAAGTTGTTGATGACATTGATTGTTTATCCAGTGATATTCTTAACCAAGTTTGGTTCATTACGAAGGAAACGGTTGAATCATCCCCAGAGAAAAAGTTTATTTATCGGTTCAGCGGGCTGCTGGGACAATCATCATGTTGCGAGCAAACTTTGTGGACAGATATCTTGGCATTTAACAATAAACCAGCAGAATGTCAGAAAACAAGGTTGAATCATTACATAGCTGGTATAATTTATCTATCGTACAGTTTTCAACAACCTTTGTTGAGCGTCCATGACCGGTTTCAACTGCAGCATAATGATTATATCAAATCTCAATATGGAATCAAATCGGAAGCGTCAGATGTCAAATATGATGACAGAAAGGTGTTCCAGTTCCAGTTATCCGACCTTATTCTAAGTCCACAGCAACTGTCAATTCTGAGAAGTGGTATTCGCAGACTTGTTGTTTTCGGAGAGGCTGGATCAGGAAAGTCATCTTTGCTACTCGCGCTTGCTTTAGAAAAATGCGGGAAACAAGTTTCTTCACCAGAACACGTGTATTATTTCTTACCTGACCGGAAAAGTTCTTTCCATGAAGTTTTAGAAACGTTTAGGCAGAAATATTGTAAAGAAAGATATTTTCATGTCACTTATCTCAGCAAGTTCGAAGATATCATTAAGAACACCAGGAGCAAAGCCACGTTCCTGGTTGACGAAGTATACCATACTGACTTTGCAGAAATCGTAGCGTACCTCAAATACATTTCTTCAACCTTATGGGTAGCGTGTGTTATTGGTGGTCAAAAGAATGTCCCTGACGACCACAAGTACATGAGCATGTTCAAAACATGTTATCTCACGGTACTATACAGAAGTTCCGCGCATATATCTGGACTATCGACATACATTCTGAATAAATGGATATTACCAGAACTCGGTGCTTCGTCTGCTGTTCTCTTCAAATGTTTCTCATCGGGGAACAAAAAATCGTTCCAGTTGAAACGAGTTTGGCCGTCAAACCCAGACCAGCAACATGTCATAAGTGAAATGGTTCGTTCTTTTTATTTTTCCCATTCATTTGTTGATCAAAATTTTGACAGTTTAAAATGGTAAATATGCATAATTCTTGTTTAATGTTACAGAGCTCAAACTCAGTTGTATTCTCAGTTTATACAACACTCAGTGACAACACGATACAACAAAAAGCGAAGCTAATTAATGTTAACATGGAAAGTGTGTCTAAAATAGAAGATTTGGAATTCACTGGGGCAGAATGGGATCATGTTTGCATTTTTATCGGGAATGGAGATGACGATCTTCTTCTCTCAGTTGTTTACAGCATGATAACACGAGCTGTGAAAAGCGTCATCATATACACGGAAAACGCAAAAGTGTGTAACGTGATTGATGCTTATCATAATCATGTAGGCGACAAACTTGTTCTTCAAATTCGCAGTGGCGATTTTCCCGAGATAACCGATGATATAAAGCAACATTTGATAGATGATACCAAGCTTGTATCCTCTCTTCTAGAAGTGTTGTTCCTGAAAGGAGACTCCGAGAAACCACATGTATTTAATCTCATACAGTACATTACCCATCAACATAGAGACCATGCTTACAATTCTAGCAGTGTGTGGCTGCCAGCGTTTTTCAAAACTCCCAAATGTAGACAATTTCTGAAACGTTGCGAGAAGCTACCCATATTAGCTGAAGTCATAAAGCAAACGGATTTGTCGGTTCTGGAAATTTTGCTATCGTTTTGTTGTCACAAACCAACATTATTGCATATACTCGACATACTGGAAAGTTCTCAACGACAAAGGTTTCTGAGAGACTATTGTGGCCGCTTGTTTTTAAGATCGTGCTACAACGAGTGCGAGGACACTGTTCAGTGTCTGCTGAAACAGAACTCTTCTCTAGCGCTTTGTAAATATCGAAAAGAAACTACGCCATTAATGATAGCTACAGAAGTCGGAAATTTACGAATTGCCCGAATGATTCTGGATTTCACTCCCGATGAGGAACAAAATTCCTATATAGAGCAGAAAGAGGATACGGGCAAATCAATATTTTTCGTTGCTGCTAAACATGGTCATTTGAAGCTGCTCCAATATTTCCGCAACCGGCACAAATCGAAGGGGAAAAGTCAGCGAGAACTGCACACTATTGTCGATAATTTTGGAAACACGCCTCTTATGCACGTGGCACTGTGTAATAGCCTTGACATTGTTAGCTGGCTTGTCAGCATTGATCCGGATTGTATGAAAACACGAAACAAAAACAATAAAAGTGTACTTCATTTCGCAGCTTTAAACGGCAATACTGAAATTGCTTCTGTTCTCTTAGAATCGGTGAACTCATCGGAAAGAAGTTCATTGATTTCATCGCCAGATGACAAAGGCCTGACGGCTTTCCACTGGTCGTGTTTGAGAGGTCATCTCGAGTTCAGCAAATGCCTGCTAGAAGAATACAAGAATTACAAGTCAGAATCTGATCCGCTCTTACACACAATACGAGATAATGATGGAACCACGCCTCTTGAGCTTGCTGTGGCGAGCAATCATCTTGAAATTGTTAGCTGGCTTGTCAGCATTGATCCGGATTGTATGAAATTACAAAACAAAGACAAATTAAGCGTACTTCAGGTCGCAGCTGCAAATGGCAAAACTGAAATTGCTTCGGTTCTCTTAAAATCGGCGAACTCATCGGACAAAAGTTCATTGATTTCATCGCTAGATGACGAAGGCATGACGGCTTTCCACTGGTCGTGTTCAAAAGGTCATCTCGAGTTCAGCAAATGGCTGCTAGAAGAATACAAGAATTACAAGTCAGAATCTGATCCGCTGTTACACACAATTCAAAATAACAATGGAACCACGCCTTTTGAGCTTGCTGTGCTGAGAAATCATCTTGAAATTGTTAGCTGGCTTGTCAGCATTGATCCGGATTGTACGAAAACACGAAGCAAAAACAAAAAAAGTATACTTCATTTCGCAGCTTTAACCGGCAATACTGAAATTGCTTCTGTTCTCTTAGAATCGTTAAACTCATTGGACAGAAGTTCATTGATTTCATCGCCAGATGACAAAGGCATGACGGCTCTCCACTGGTCGTGTTCAGAAGGTCATCTCGAGTTCAGCAAATGCCTGCTAGAAGAATACAAGATTTACAAGTCAGAATCTGATCCGCTGTTACACACAATTCAAAATAACAATGGAACCACGCCTTTTGAGCTTGCTGTGCTGAGAAATCATCTTGAAATTGTTAGCTGGCTTGTCAGCATTGATCCGGATTGTACGAAAACACGAAGCAAAAACAAAAAAAGTATACTTCATTTCGCAGCTTTAACCGGCAATACTGAAATTGCTTCTGTTCTCTTAGAATCGTTAAACTCATTGGACAGAAGTTCATTGATTTCATCGCCAGACGACAAAGGCATGACGGCTTTCCACTGGTCGTGTTCAAAAGGTCATCTCGAGTTCAGCAAATGGCTGCTAGAAGAATACAAGAATTACAAGTCAGAATCTGATCCGCTGTTACACACAATTCAAAATAACAATGGAACCACGCCTTTTGAGCTTGCTGTGCTGAGAAATCATCTTGAAATTGTTAGCTGGCTTGTCAGCATTGATCCGGATTGTATGAAAACACGAAGCAAAAACAAAAAAAGTGTACTTCATTTCGCAGCTTTAACCGGCAATACTGAAATTGCTTCGGTTCTCTTAAAATCGGTGAACTCATCGGACAAAAGTTCATTGATTTCATCGCCAGATGACGAAGGCTGGACGGCTTTCCACTGGTCGTGTTTAAGAGGTCATCTCGAGTTCAGCAAATTCCTGCTAGAAGAATACAAGAATTACA